AAAAGATCATCGCAAACATAAGAGAACAAGGCTAGAAGCGCCAGTCATCTTTTAAGAAATTAATAAAAAATCAATACAGAAATATTATCCTATGAATTGTGGTCAGTACTAGCCGGGTTAGGTAGAGGTCCAGTACAGAGTCCAGTACAAATCGTTACGTACAGACAGCACGTACAGTATGTCACCATTACCCACTGTAAATAAATTCTGAGTTTAAAAAATACGAACCAGGTAAAGAGATCCATACAGAATGAAGAGCTATGAAATAGACTGGTGTTTCACAGGTAAATAACACACAAGACCGTGAAGACGTACCTCGTTTTACAGTGATCGCCGGCACCGCTGAGCTCAGTACAGTAACTGCTATGGTTCACAAAATCTCTTAGTCTGTATAAAGTTTATTTTCTTCCAGCGGTTACTGATAAAACACAGGCTAACGGCGCAAGATCTGTGCAGCGCTCACCACATTAACGTAACAGCTTCGTGATAAATAACGTTATGGTGTTATTAATACCTTAAAACCGCTAAATACAGTTTTGGATGAGCACAGTCCAGCCCCGCGGAATCCAGGAAACTGGCGCGGTGAGCCCCGGGAGTTGTAGTCAAAGGTAGGGACGATGTGTGTGGAGAGTGATGCTGTGTGGGACTACAGGTCCCAGGGTGCAGTGAGAGAGGGCGAGTCCGGGGACGTGTGACTTTGGACAAGTGATTATCTTGCGATGAGTCTGGATTCGTTCCCGACAAACAAACCTAAACTGGCATAACCCGCGCAAGTTCCTGCTCCGCACAGCACGGGGCTTTTAGCCTCTTTGCACCTGAAAAATGTGCTTTATCCAGTCACCCCTCAACTTGAAATGCAATTAAAAATGTCGTTGTGTTAAATGTCAACACTTGTTAACTGCATCTCAAAAGAAAATGCTATTAATTCATTAAAGCTACATGTTATTGGGATATCGGTTAAAAATTGGCATTAGGGGTGCCTGGTTTTAAAATCTGCGATGCGGCTGCGAGGCAGGGGCTGTCGGACACACGCAGGGAGAGAGGGAGACAGACTCCGCGGCTCTGAGAGCTGAGACGATGCCTCACCCGCTCAAGCCCGCAGGGCGGACACCCAGCTGGAAGATCGGTACTGTGGGAGATGTCCGTGTTCTTCTTGCAATTGTTTTCCTGGAGTTTGTTTCCAATGTCGGCCCCGTTAGGAACAGCGCAGAACTCTGCTCAGTCATCAGACTGAGTGGGGCCAGTGAGCAGATCCAACCTGTTTGGGTCATAAAGGCTGATTTGTCAGCCCTTTCCTGCAATATTTACTTCTAAGTAACTGTGTGTGTGCGCAAGACAGACAACACAGGGAAAGGTTAGGGTGTGCTCCCTTGTGTGCCTGGTAGTGTATCACATTGGGTTATTTCAGTGAGAGGGCTGTTAGGTTTAAACAGGCAGTCTGCAGTATTTCATCAGGCTCATCCCAGTCCCTGACCCTCCCCCTGAACAATCTGTCCTCGTGTGCTGCTTAAACAGAATAATGTCATCAGTCTTTCAGACGTGCAGAACAGAACATGTCTCCCGGCACATGACTGTCAGTGTAGAAATCACACTGACTCCTGAAAAGCGAAATCGGCTTTGGGCCTCAGCTTTAACACTTACACCCATCAGCTGCCAGAGACAGGACTGATCTCTGCTTGGCCCATGGTTAGCAGTCTGTGGTCAGTCAGGCCACCCCCTGCCCCTGCCCCTGCCCTCAGTGACCAGAAACACACAAAGCACACAGCTTTCTATAAAAAACTTTATTACATTCTTAAAACCACAGACTTTATTCTCATAATACAACCACAGATGTCTGTACCTTTTCTCTTTTTATAGCTCCTAAAACTTTAATAATATATTATATAGAATATCTTCTTTTCTTATTAAAAATCCAGACGAGGCTTGTTCAATATATCTTTATATGATTTAAGAAAATAAAATAACATAAAGCAAAAGACAGACACAGAGAAGGAGTCCTCCTGTCACAGAGAGCAAATCACTTTTTCTTTTTTTTGGTATTTTTTTTTAAACTTATCGTCCTTTTTAAAAAAATAGAAATACAATTTTACAAGACAAAAACTAAAACAAGAAGGAAAGGTAGAAGAACTGACAAAAAGCATCACATTGAAACCACCTGCAAACCCTGAAATTCGTCTTCGTCACTCTCGGCTCTCTACACTTTTCTCTTTCTGTAAACTGCAGTGTTCTCCAGAGCTCGGGCTGTTGCAGGAATAGTCCCAGAAGACAGGCGCAGAGCTCTGACACGTTTGTGACCCACAATCCCACACAGTTGCTGACATGGCGGTCCGGGTTCAAACGTGTCCAGGCTGGAGCCTGCGGAGAAAGGGGGTCTGAGAAGGTCCTGCTCTCTCCCCGAGTGAGTGTGAGATCGGGCTCCCTGTGTACCCCCACCTTCTGCAGCCCATTTCTCCTCAGCCTGGCACCCTGAGGCGCATCTGTCCCTGTCCTCTCGCTCCTCACCCCCGGCCTGGCAGCACGCACATTCATGCAGGCCGGCTGCATCAGCCATTGAAACAGCTCACAGCTCAGGACGCAGGATAAGGGGAGTGTGGACCTGCAGAGCCCTGGTGCAGCCTGAAGGAAAGGACAAGCCTCCGTGGACGAGGAGGAGGCAACAAGCCTGTGGTGCCCTTTGACCCCTGTGGGGCAAGTGAGTCACACTGTCTGCAAAGGCAGGTGGCAGTTCTCACCTGGCGCCCTTCACAGACTGTGCGGTGACTCTGCACACGGCTCTGTCTCTTCACACTTCATCACAACAAGCCTGGCGAACCCCTCTGGGTTCTCACAACCTGTCTCTTCTGCTCTGGTCTGCGCAGTCTGGTGAGCACACATCTTGTTTCACCCCAGAGTGCGCACCTGCCCCTCGTGCACTGCAAGATTCGGCCTAGATCTGCCTTTCGCTCTGCGATTTCTGTCCCCCTTGGTGAGTTCTGCTCCTTCATCCTTCTGTACAGTTGCAGTACCAACCTCCAGCCAATACATAGCACTGTTTCACGTATAAACGTATTGCACCTTCCTGTGCTATGTGATAACACAGAGAGATATACAGCCATGCCAGGACAGCTACTCCCTTCCAATCCATTCCAGATTTTGACACAACTAGATCCTTAACTGCTACATTGATCCTGAGGATTCTTTGTTAAACACCTGGTTGTGAAAAAATTCTGGGATGGAGTACATTGGAAGGACTGCAAGTTTAGTAGCTCTGGGCTAGAGGAAAAAAAAACTCATTTTAAGAAGAGAACTACACTTTGTAAATCTACACTCTGTTTACAATCCGTGTTATCGACAACACAACACCCCCTCCCCCAGCTGGCAATACTCTGGTCCCCAAACTGCCCCTCCTGGACATCTGAACAGGGCAAGACTTCTCATGAATTAAAGCAAAACCAAGTAAATAATTATGAGTGGCTGCACTATCCCAGAAGCACAGAATTAATTACCAATAAACAAATTAATTAGTTAATGCACAGTAGGACAGTCTGCATTCAGGCTGCATGCTGGCACCATCCCATACTGAGTGATTGTCTCATTAGCGCTGTTTTAATTACTACTGGCTTTGTGTTTTGGTGAAAAAACTCCTCACACACAGGGACTTTGTTTTCTTACACGTATAAATTACACCTGGACCTAGGCTTCGTATACAAGATACACACAAGCTGGTGGACAGATCAGGTAATACACAGCTTATAAGACAAGAGGGCATTGGAACATCACCTCGTGACATTAATGAGGGTTCTGAAGTCTGTTCCCTGACTCCCCCTCAGTCTCTCCTGAAGAACAGACAGGAGTCCTAGACCTGTTTAAACATGCAGAGACCCAGAGGCCCACGGCTTCCTCTGGGCTTCACTCCTGGTGTTAAAACTGCCAGCAGGGGGCAGCAGGGGGCAGCCTGATTCCCACACCACACACAAGCTGCCTGCTTCTGTTAGGGCGGACTGTGCGACTGTCCTGCCTCTGTGATACCAACGCTTTCACTAAGAATACCGTTTGTACAAAACACAATCTCTGTATGAAATGTGCAAGAAACATTTGTTTTCTCACAGTTTCATCTCCTGGTGATTTGGGGCACAGGGTGTGATACTATACTGACCTTCAGTTACAGCCTGACACACACAGATGCTGTCCAACCTGATTCTGGGGCTCTCACTGTACAGAACAGCGCCCCCACAGCTCCGGGGGAGGAATTACATTATAGACACACTCCCTTGCTCCTCTCAGTTGCGCCCCCCGTCTTTTGCTGTTTGAACTCCAGTTTGTTTCCAGTCCCAACTGATTTTCCTGGTCTTCTTTGTCCAACTTGTTCCCTGTCCTCCCATTGCCCCCACTTCTCCAACGTCTGTTCTTCTCACCCAAGGAGTAGGTGAAGAGTCCCTAAGCCCTTCCCAGCTTCCCACTTCCATCACGGATATTTGTCCAAGAATCTTTTTCCTGGGCATTTTTAGTTGTTTTCCAAGCAGACAACAGTGCCCTGTCTTTCTTGCTGCTGGACTCCAGGATCGGACCTGCATGGCTGTCCAGCCCCACACGTCACGCCCTTGCTGTCGGACTCAGCCACCACTCCTGTCTGCTGCAAAGATCGGAGGCGAAGAATCCTCTGTAGTTTCATTTTAGAGCCTCAAGGGTGGCTGGTGAGGACGGAGATCGTTTGAGATTGTTATTTCAGAAAGATGTACAAATGCTGACGATGTGGCCACTTGGGGCTGAACCTCCAACTGTGTTTGTTTGTCGTTTTTTTCTTTCCAAAGGTCCTGATATCTCCAGCACCCTGCAGGACCCAGCACAAGGGAGAGACCGAGGCACACAGTCTGCCTTGTAACACCTCTCTCTTTCACTACATCTACATAACATACACGGACATACAGGTATGTACACAGCACGTCACAACCTCTTGTCAAAATACTTGCTCAAGTTTTCGCCCTCTGCCTGTGTCAGTGGCGTCTCAGAGGGAAAGGGCAGTGGACTGAGGTTTGCAATTGCACATTAAGAGCAGCTTCAGAAAGGAACATGAGAGTTTGTGTTCGTGTGTGATGGGGGTTGTACAAACACATGCGTCATGTGTCAGAGTGCTTCGTGGCAGTGTGTGTGCGAGTGTGCGCGATGGGGGTTGTGCAGATACACAAGTCGTTTGTCTGGGTGCTTCATGGCAGTGTGGGTGCGCAAGTGTGCCTACGGAGGGTTGTGCAAATACATGCGCCATGTGTCTGAGTGCATCGTGGCAGTGTGTGCGAGTGTGCACTGGTGGCAGTGTCTGTTGGGGGCAGGGAATGAGGGAGACAGTGAATTTCAAACCCGTCTGACACAGAGGTGCACATGTTCCCTGGGGCCTGCAGGCTCTCTGTGCCTCCAGAACAGGAGCTGTACAGCTCTGCTCTAAGATCACCCACTGTGCCTCCTCTCTCTCTCTCACCTGCCCTTCTATACTACAAAATATAGAAATTGATAGTTTTTTAAAAATAAATTCTTTTCTTGGTCCCTTTTTAACTGCTTTTTCCAGAAAAATACTTTTTTTAAAAAAAAGTGCGAGGGTTTATGGGCAGTAATAAAAATGAGAAGAGGAATAACAGGAATAAGACACTGGAAGCAGACGTTAAAGGAAGAGAAAGAGGAATTCTGGAGCTGTTTTGGACAGTAGTGCTGTATGTACATTCTGTTTTCGATAGAGGAATCTGCAGTGTGCTGTAGTATGTGCACTGCAGTGTCTGAGCTGTAGTGTGTGTACTGAAGTTTCTGCACTGTAGTGAGTGCTCTGTAGTGTCTGTACTGTAGTGTGTGAACAGTAGTGTCTATAAGGTTGTTTCTGCACTGTAGTGTCTGTGCACAGTAGTGTCTATAAGGTTGTTTCTGCACTGTAGTGTCTGTGCTGTGGTGTGTGCCTTGTCATGTCACAATCTTATGCGTTGTCACGTCTGTGCGGTTTTCCTGGGGACGGCTACATTCATGTTTGACTAAGCTGCATGCTGGTAGAGAAAGGACCCCCACGTCGACTCGGGCGATGGGGCCCTGCCCTAAAAGAGCTCGAGACGAAGGTGCATTTGGAGAGATCAAATGGAGGTCAGGGGTGTGTGTTGGACTGTCATTAAGTTCCTGGCTGATTATGTTCTCAATTTTCCTTGTGTAGGGCTGTGTCCCAGCCTCCCTCCCTCCCATGCGCGTTTAGCTCTCGCTGGAGTCAGGGAAGATCATCTCACTCCCAAAGACCTCGCGGTACAGTGGTGGGAAGCTGTAGGCTGTCTCCGGGTGGACCAGGCGAAAAAACTCCAGCTTGTCAATGTGGAGATTGCAGATGGACTTCATGACTGGGAGCTTGGACACCATCTGGAAGGGGAAACGGGGAGGGAAGAGGGAGAGAAGGGATTATATGAGGCAAAACCAACAAGCAGGAGAGACGATCAATGGCGAGAGAGAAGGCAAGAGAAGGGAGCTACATTTCATTCCTTTCAACAAAACTTCAACTCTCGAACTTTCTTGCACAGAACTGTAAGACAGGCAAACAGTAAAGGACAGACAGAGAGATACAGAAGAAGGCAGTCAATACCTTTGCCAGTTTCTCCTCGCTGGCGCCGCCCCGGTGGAGAGTGTGCTGCAAGGCCAGATACACTCGCTCCTGCAGCTTCTGCACCTTCTGAGAGTCGGTCAGCCACGGCCGGTCTGTGGACAGGGAGGCATCAAGGCAATGAAATGAGCCGCACAGGTCATTGACCAATTAACTCATTTCGGGTTTCAGTATAGGATGCCTTTTCTGTAGTAATCACAATCACCAAGCTCTCCACAAATTCCCAGGAATGTCTAGGAAGTAAGAGTGTCGCTCAGGAATCTGATTACGTTTCAATCGGATTGGCCTGTAGCCAAGGACTCCCTGCAGTTGGGTTCAGGAATCAGGAATATCTTTTTCCCTGCAATCAGACTCTAAGTAATCAGATTTTGAATTCAGCTAATGGACTGCAAGTTTGGGTCTTCCAGAACCATGTCATTTTGATTCTGGGGAATCTCACAGCAGGGAAAATCAAATTCCTAAATCAGGAATCACTAGAATTCTTTTCACTGTCTGATACTCCTTAACTGAACTGCACTATAACCTACAGAAACATTTAAACAAAACTGACTGCTCCTCTGTTGATGTCCCTATTTCTATCAGCCTCCCGAGTGTCTGTCTGGGTGTCGGGTCCCTGTCTCTCTGAACACGGGCCTCACCTGGAGACAGCAGGACAGCAGCACTGAAGAGAGCAATCTCCTCCTCGGACAGCTGCAGACGACACAGGGCCTTCCCCAGTTCGTACACTGCACTGACCAGGTCGTCGCAGCCTGGGGGAGAGGGAGAGGGAGTCAGGATACGAGTCTCTGTGAACTTTGTACACACTTTTTCTGCTGAAGCTGCAATATTTTATGAGGTGGACATACCAAACTAGTTTGAACTGGATTGGAAAAATGTTGGACACAAGGACTACTATGCAATTCTATACTGTGTTGTATAGAAACGAGTGCTACGAAACCAAGTAACCAACTGTATTAAAAGAAGTTATCTCTGGCAAACAGGAAAGAGGAAGATGTGTGTGACTCCGGAATGCTGCTAATCTGATCAACACAGGGAGGCGCGATAGATAACAGAAATATATTTAAGGACTGTTCTAGTTTAATTGCCTTGAAAAAAATAAGTCTCTGTGGGTTTCGCTTCCATGCGCATTAAATTAAAACTTCTTTTAACTTCAGAGACGAACTCCTGGCTGTCTTTCAAGGGGGAGGAGGGAAAAAGTTCTCCAACAAGCACGTCGGCAGGAATCCTGGGATCCCGTTCACAGAGAGCGGACCTCCTGGCACTCACCTAGGGCTTTGAAGAGCTGCGTGCCGGCGAACTTGCCATCGAACAGCAGGGTGTTGTTCAGGGGGTTGTAGGCGCGACACATGCGGATGAGCAGCACCTCCAGGCAGCCTGAGCGAGGGAACGCAACAGCGCAGAGGCAGAGAGAGAGGGGGGAGACAGAGGCTCCACCACGCACAGACAGACACACACAAGAAAATTGATTTCCAATCGGAAAATAAACAAATTTAACCACAGGAAAACATCATGAATGAAATCAGCAGTAATACAGATACAACACAGAGTGGAGTAAAAGATATTACCATTGATTTAAATCCGAGACGTTTCAAATAGTTTCAATAAACATTACAATACATTTTAGTTCACAAATTGGAGAACGGAAGCAAGGTGTCCGAGCAGAGCCAGAGACCAGGTCATCCATGATCATTAAAATATAATGGTAACGAACAGAGAGAGAACGTGAGAGGAGGAAGGTGGAAGAGAAGAAAGACAAGAAGAGCCATCGTTAAAAATATGAACAAGGGCATCACCGCCCTACTTCTGTCCCACAATGCAGAGGGAGGCAGAGGTCTGGGGAGGGAGGCAGTGTGTCTCACCCTCGCCCGCGCAGCCCAGCGCACCTCAGCCCTAATGTCATGTGAACCCCTCCCCAGCTCACACTGCTGATAGGCCAAGCTGGGAGTACAGCTCCTCTGTCCCATGGTCTTACAGACCTGCGGTGTGTCTGCAAGGTTAGCTGTGGCCTATTCACGCAGCTGCTGCTATGTGGGGAAAACCGCAGGGACTAGTCAGGCCTGGACACAGGCAGACAGGATTGTGGGGAACATGTTCCCACGAACGACAACCACATACCAGCTGTGCTCTCACTGAGATGACTGAGCGCCCCCTTGTGTTCACGGTCTGTGTACAGGCCATCTAACGTCATAAGAAACTCTGTCAATGTGTCGGGTACAGCAGGGAGTTTATCTGGGGAAGCTGGTCCAGTATGAGTGTGCCCCTTGTAGGGTGCCGGTCACCCCTGTACTGTGACAGTGGTCCCCACAGAGCATTTGTGGAACTCTGCAATGAATGCACCCCCTGCAGCGCATGCTGTGTGGCGCCGCCCTGATGGTGGGTATTGACCTGCTTTGAGAAGGATGATCTGGTCGTTCTGGCACAGGTCCATGAAGCCTGTGATGCGCTTGGCAAACTCGACCACGTACTGGATGGCGTTGGTGATGTGGTGTGCGCACTGCTGCCACATGGCCTCAGCAGACTGGGGAGAGAGCCACAGGGAGGGAGAAGGAGGGTGAACATTGCAAAAGGTCCCAACAACACTGGTTTGTACAGATGAAGGTTCAGCAGCCACAAGACCATATTCGGGTAAAAAACGCACCGTCGCAAGAAACTTGAGAGAACAGGGATTAATCTGAAACAGCTTAATGGCAGTACTGAGAACTTATGCCTTGAATCTAACATATCAACTGCAGGTATATATTATTTTTCCCCTTCTTACAAATCTGCTGCCATTTTGTTGTTAATTATTTAAATTGTTACAGAATGCACAACCGCTGTTTTCAATTACAGAACTCTTTGCCTGATTGACTGAATTGTCACTTTCTGTTAAAGCTCTTTTAACTGGGCTCCTGACAAGTTGTCCACAAATCCAGGAGCTTGATGTGTGTGTTCTGTCCAAAGGAGGTGGAGTTTGAAAAAAGGACAGTACAGGTGCACACTCCACAGTGTACAGTACAGTTGTATACAGTGTACTATTGTACAGTACAGGTGTATACAGCACTGTCGTATAGTACAGGTGTATAGTTCACTGTTGTACAATGCAGGTGTATCCAGTACTGTTGCAGGGCACTGGTGTATAGTGAAGTGTTGTAAAGTACAGGTGTATACTGAAGTGTTGTACAGGCACTCAGTCACCTTGCTCTGGAAGGCACGGGTCTCCTCAGGTGTGTACAGGGTCCAGGTGAGTCTCTTCAGCTCCTCCCCGCTGTACTGACACGTCTCCAGGTGAGACTTCACCACATTTTGCGCCGTGCGCTCTGAGGAGAGAAGGTGCCGTCGTCACACCCTGAGCCCAGCAGTTACCCTCCCGGTAGTTAAGCTCCCCGCTCCCCGCCCGCTCACCGATCTCCAGCAGGCTGCAGTCCTCGGCCAGTGGCTTCAGCAGCGCGTGCACCGTGTACAGGCCGGGCTCGTGCAGCAGCTGGTACTCGTGTCGGACGTGGCTGCCGTCGGGAGCCTCCAGCCCGCTGGGCTCGGGAGAGGACTGCGCCGACCCGAGCAGGTCCAGCCCACAGTAGCCCCCAGCTCCCTCGGGGGTCAGGGGCAGGTCGAACAGCAGGCCGTCGGGCAGCGTGGCGAGATCGTCCAGGTCGCTGAGGGCCGCGCTGGAGCCGCTGCTGTAGGCCCGCACCGGGGTGTCCGCCTCCCCCTCCTCGTCCTCCCGCCGCGCGCCCCCCGCCCGCGCCTGCGTCTGCTGGTGCTTCTGCACCTCCGCGTACAGACTGTCCCGCTGCTTCTTCGACATGCGGCCGAACTTCACGGCTGCAGGAGACACAGCAGAGGCTGTCAGCACTGCCGACAGGAGGCGAGAGGGCAAGTATGTGAGGGGCAGGGGCGGGGGACATGAGGTTAAAGGTGGAGTGAGCACGGAGTAGGGGTGGAGTAAGTGGGAAGTAAGGGAGGAGTAAGAGGCGGTTAAGCAAGGAGTAGGGGTAGAGCAAGAGGGGAGTAAACAATAGTAAGAGGGGGTTAAGCAAGGTGTAGGGGTAGAGTAAGAGAGGGGTAAAGGTGGAGTAAGAGGGGAGTAAGGGTGGAGAAAGAGAGGGTTAAGCAAGGAGAGGTGGAGTAAGAGGGGGGTTAAGTGAGGAGTCAGGGTGGAGTAAAAGAGTTGTAAAGGTGGAGTAAGAGGGGAGTAAAGGTGGAGTAAGGTTGGAGTAAGTGGCGGTTAAGTGAGGAGTAGGGCAGGGGAAGGGGGGGTGCGCTCACCATCGCGGGACATGCCCAGCGCCAGGCACTTCTGCAGCCGGCAGTGCTGGCAGCGGTTGCGGTTGGTGCGGTCGATCAGGCAGTTCCTCTGCCGCGAGCAGGAGTACATGGCGTTGTTCTGCTGGCTGCGCCTGAAGAACCCCTGCAAGCAGCACGGGGCACAGACAGAGGGGCACAAGAAACAACTCTTTCAGTCCCAGAGTCCCACACCTGCCAGAATCCGAACCGCTTCCTGCCCTGCTGGGGGAGGAGTCTCACCAGAGCCAAGCGTGACCTCCTGTCCCAGCCTGAGGAACAGAGCGCGAGTCTCTAAATAACAGTGATAAGTGTCGTCTTTGTGTTGCAAACGTCTGTAAAGGCCTTGCACAGTGTTTGTACTTTTGCAACACTGCATAAACAGAGCTCTTTGAATTAGAACAGGACAGAGAGGCACACCGACAGGAGAGACACATTTAAGGTCAGATTCTTCAGGAAAAACATTTTTATGGGTTTCTCTGCAGACCTCGGCACGTCAGATCCCCGCTACCCCCAGAGATCTGCTGGGATCTGGTGCTGGATGGATCACTGCTCACCTTGCAGCCCTCACAGGTTATCACACCATAGTGGATCCCCGACGACTTGTCCCCGCAGATCTTACACGGGATCACCTCGATTTGAGCTGGAAACAGAGGTAGAGGCAGGCAGGTGTTAGTCTTCATCACTGCCACTCTGGGCAGTCAGCTACACATCAGCAACTCCGGGACCCAGGGTATGATAAGTAAACAGATACTTCCGTTTATTTTATTGAACAAAATTAAACCGTGCACATAGCTACTGTATTTGCTGAGGTACATTCCTGACTATAACATTAAAATCTAGAACAATATGATCATTAACCAACTAAATTAAATTACTAAATCAACTAAATTAAAAGATGTGACACTGACAGCTCTTCCCACACTCTTTCTTTGCCATTTAAAGCTTTGGAGAGATAAACAGAAGCCCTGTAAGAAGAAAAACGGGAATAAATAAGTTTGCTTGCTCCAAACTGTAAAAGCTTATTATATATAACAGCTTATTAAAAACATCAAAATGAAAATAAATACAGTACTCAAGAAATCCTCTCGTGTTACAACACATAAAAAGCACATTACACACACATCAAATTAAAAACGGCTATAAAGCCAAGGACACAAAGCAGAGGCAGAAGATACTGGGGAGTATCAGTAAGAACTTACTCTAATGCATCAATTACATAATACAACAAAAACACCCTTAATCATCTCGTATGCCTGAAGCTCTAGAAAACAAAAACATAATTAAGAGTTAAGCCCAGCACTGCGTCAGTACAGTGTCATACTAGCACTTATTTATTTTTAATTTCCCTGTGTTGTGTAAGTGTAACCGCACACAGGCCGCTAACTGGTGGCCGAGGCCGGCTCTGCACCAGCGGATGGGATGGAGAAGTGATGCGAGCGAATAAATATGAGAAACGGTCCCCGAGTGACGGGCTCTCCCGGACCCGCTGTAAGCAAACAGCAGCCCGGCGCGGCCGAACCCGGCTCCCCCCCTCCCGCCTCCCCTGGTTATATAACCCCGGTCTGGCCGCATTCCGCCGGCACAGTCATTCGGGGAGGCAGGTCGCCCCGGCAACTCAGCTCCGACCATCCAGACCCCCCCCCCACCACCACCACCTCGGGCTCTGATTGGCTATTACGTGCATTACGGCCTCTCCGATTGGCTCCGCTCGACGTCACTCAGCTTCCCAGCGCAGTCAGGCTATTCCGGCGCGCGCTGTGTCCTACTGACATACTTTCTCATTCAAAAAAGGGGAGGCTCGTGGGCGGCGGCCTCGCGAGGAGGGTTTTGTTGTCTTCGCCGATTTTAAGGTGGAACTGTCTCGAGCTCTACTGACGCACCAAGTGCACGGACTGCATGGACATTAATTACAGACACATTAAGTTTTCGTATCCTGTCATCATGTCCTATGCTTATGAAAGGCTTTGCAGAAAATGCAGATCACGTTACTGTAATCTCGTAATAGTTACATAAATGTGTCTTAATAGTTCAGGTGTCCTAATCGTGCAGCTTGTCCGTGGTCAATTTTGTCACGCTATGGTTTGTCAAAACAGAAAGCAATTAGTTTTCCCAAGGAATTCTGAAGTATTATATTTTATGTTTACCTACTTGATTTATTGCTATTTATTATATAACTGCATCTAAACAGCATCTCTCAAACAAAACAGACATTAACAGTAAATATGAGACATTTGGAACTCGCTGTACTCCATAGAAGCCATCACTATGACAGCAACAACAAAATCTATGTATCTGTTACCAGTATTAAACGCTAAGCCACTGACTTGGATGTGTGAAACTAAGAGCTGTTACACAATATTATATTATAATAATAGAATATTCTAATGTTTGTTGTGGGAGCAGTATCTTCATTCCACCTCCTCTGATAACAGGCACACGAACACATTTATTTATATCTGAAAGAGGTTTCCCTGAAATGAGTTCCAGATTTGATCTTCTGAACTATCGGACTACAGATTTGAATCAATGTAGCGTTGGATTGTAGAAGTTTTCTCAGTGTGTTCTGTTAATAATACACATACTGTACCTCCTGTCCCCAGAGCTTGCTGCCAAACAAGAATCATTTCTTTCTACTGCTTAGCTGATGCTACTTTCCTGGGTCAGTTAGTTTTACATTCCGTGTACAAAATGAAACAACAGATATAATTACATGTAGCAGCAAGCATAGCTAAATGATCGATCCCCAGATCAATAACCTGATAGCAACCGAACGAGCACAATGAGCCAAATGGCAACCCCTCATGAGCAACCTTCTTATGACCTTCAACTCTTTTGTTTTAATTAGTGGAGAACAGGTCTCCAAGTTTGTGTGTGTGTCTTTGCGTGTATGTATCTCTGCGTGCACATGTGTGTGTGTGCGCGTGTCTTTGTGTGCATGTCTGTGTGTCTCCATGTGTCTTTCTGTGTGCGTTTTTGTGTGCATGTGTGTCTCTGTGTGTGCCTGTGTGTACGTGTCTCTGTGTGCATGTGCGTGCATGTGTGTGTATCTCTGTGTGCACATGTGTGTGCTTCTTTGTGTGCATGTTTCTGTGTGTTTTTTGTGCTTGTGTGTCTCTGTGTGTACCTGTGTGCACGTGTGTATCTCTGTGTTTCTGTGTGTGTATCTCTTTGTGCACGTGTCTGCATGTCTCTGTTTGTCTCTTTGTGCATGTCTGTGTGCATGTGTCTGTATCTATGTGTGTATTTGACGTGTATCTCTGTGTGCACGTGTGTGTGATGCACAGTTACGTAAAGCTGTGCTCAGTACCAGTTTGCCCAGCGGACTCTCAGACATACAGATGGGGGACACCCCTTCAGCATGACCCCCAGACACGGCCGGACTCCAGGACTGATACGCCACACACAGCAGTGGAAACAGCACCATTCGGAGCAGGAACAGCAGCGCTGCAGCTCTGTTCTTGCCAGAGCGGGAGCAGGAGAAGCCGAGCATTAAACCAGCGCACTGCACTGTGCAAAGGTCCTGTTTGCTTTGTCATTGTGTAACAGCCTCGCACTGCACACTCAGCCCCCTCGCCGCAGGCTCAGCACGTCAGCTCTCTGATGCAGCCTGCAGGGCTACAGCTGCTGCACTGCCCTTCTGACAAACTCCAGGCTCGCAGCTCTGTGCATGGGGAGCTGGTCCCAGCACCTACCCGAGGGATGCAGGAGCCAGCAGTTCTGTACACCACGGATTATTTTTAACGCCTGCTGTGTTCAGTGGACTCCGGTCCTCCAGGCTCTGTGCAGAGCAGCAGTATGTCTAAGATGGTCCAGGCTTTTCCAGAGAGCTCAGAGAGCTCAGGCCTGTTTCCTTCACTCTGCCTGCATTTGCACCCTGAGACGTGTGGGCTGGCTACTGCCTCAGCGGTGCAGTTCTCTCCCCATCAGAGCCCTGGGCCTGGGACAGCGCACTCAGACCAGATGCAGGGCTGTCACTTGACCATGCGCGCAGCACAGTACACAGCACACCTGCTCTGCTTCAGGGCTGACGTAACAGGACAGCGTTTACTGTGTCACTGCGGAACCAGAGTCTAGAGCACGCAGCCTTTAGAGGGCTGAGAGTCACCCCTGCAGATAGGGCCACCCCACAACTCCCACCACACCCCAGGTACATGAGCAGCTGTCTGCCTCTGCCCCTAGACTTGCATCACAGGGAGGGGGTGCTCATTTTACTCTGGCAGGGCCCTGCAGGACTGGAACAGCCATGGTTGTCCCTGAGGCGCTGGAGGCAGCACCTGGCCCCTCACGCCTCAGGAAAGTCCTTCACAGAGGAAGAGTCTGAACCACATGAACTGAACTCACACATTTCAAACCCGGTGAATGTATAATAATAATAATAATAATAATAATAATAATAATAATAATAGCTTACACTTATATAGTGCATTTCTGGACACTCCACTCAAAGCGCTTTACAGGTAATGGGGACTCCCCTCCACCACCACCAATGTGCAGCATGGGCCCCTAGATGATGCGACACCAGCCATAGTGCGCCAGTGACCACAGACAGTCAGGACCTCAGTTTTACATCTCATCCGAAGGACAGCACCTGTTTACAGTATAGTGTCCCCGTCACTATACTGGGGCATTAGGACCCACGTGGACCACAGGGTGAGCGCCCCCTGCTGGCCCCACTAACACCTCTTCCAGCAGCAATGGAGATCTCCCATCCAGGCTCACACCTGCTGTCAGTCGGCTGCCAGTTGTGAGTTGCTGGGTGATATGGCTGCTGGCTGTATGGCTGTATACAGTGGTGGTCTCTCATGACAAGCTATCACTATGAGTAAAACACATGTGCCTTAGCTTTTAACAGCTTTGCCCCGGCATACTTGCAATGCAGACTTCGAGTTAATCTACAATCTCCCCTCCCCCCCCACCCCCCAGGAAGTTGTGGTGTTGACTTCACGCACAAACCTCTCTTCTCGGCACTGCGTCACCAGTCTCCACGAGCGGCTCTGCCAGCCGGGACGATCTCCGCCTGCAGACTGAAGTTCAAGCTGAACTCCAGCCGCTTGCGTGCCGTTCGCACGGAGTCCAGCAGGGGCGCTCTCGCCAGGCTCGCATAGAACCGCATGGACTCGCACATGCCCCTGCCTGGCCCGCCCCCCTCCCGCCCCTCCCGCGCGCCGTGTAATCCTCAGTGACAGAACTAGGTCAATGGAACAGCCGCCTCCCCTCCCTCACACAGCGGGCCACGCTGCCGCCACACAAAACAACAACAAGCGAGCCGGCCTCACGCTCACGACACGCGGCCCGCGCCCCCCAGACCCTCCCTGCACTGTACAGGAGATCACTTCAGCAGGCGGGGAAAATACAAAACTGTCTATTCATCATCATCATAACATATGGTTTACATTCAGGTGATCATGAAAAAAGGGAATTTTTTTAAATTTTCAATATTGTTGTTGGTGCAATAGCTCTCCCACAAGTTCCCAAGCTCCTCTTGCATAATCACAACAAAGTTGCAGCCCGGCCGCGAGGAGCCCCAGATCTCCCACTTCTTTCTAATCTGATGGTCTCGCGGCTCAGCCCAGCCGCGAGGACAAAGCCAGTGAATCAGCACGCGCTCTCTTGTTTATTTCTCGACTTGACACGAGCAGGAAACATCTAGATGTTTTAATACAGCATTATGTATCTGAAAACCTGATGCCGGGAAGTTCCGTGCAGATAAATTCTGAGCGTGCGGATGACTCCCTGTATCCATCTAGATTTCTGGAGTCTGGTGTTTTCATAACTTACTCTTTCCCAGCTCTGCGCGCAGCAAAACCGACAGGAGTCAAAACTCAGTGACAGCGAGCCCGAGCCCACAGTAATCCTCTCAGAGCAGCGCGCAGAGATTAACACGCACTGGCAGTACACTGCTCTGAAGAGAACACGTCGAAGATGCAAACACACACACACACAACATTAATATTGCAATGTGAGACTTGTTAAAAACCGTGTTTTCTGTAGAACATTTTAAAAAACGCAAGTGACAAAATGATGTAGCAACTCACCTCTCATTTCGTCAGCCTATTCAGTCTGAGTCATGAAACTCCACAGCAAGAAAAGTGAGCAAAAAAAAATTGTCTTTCTCCAGCTCCAGGAAAAGCTGTAAAGGAAAACTAAGCGTTGCGTGCTTCTTATTCCTCGTCTGTCTTTCAAATGAAATGACAATAGTGTTTGGTATTTTAAAAACTCTTTTTCAGCTATGAGATTCGGTGCCCGAAACGCGAAGACTGGACGGTGCAGCCCAGAGCTGATGCAGCCGCCTCTCTCTCTCTGGCTCTGTAACCTACTTTCATCTCTGCGCGTGGAATCTCACATGATCTCGGAGTGCCGGCCCGCCTCGTGCCCCGGGCAGCCGCGCGCGCGGCTCTGCGCGCTTAAGGTGGAACTGCGCAGGTGAGGAAGCGGGCACGCGACCGCACGGGCACCGCAGAGGCCACGCGAACGGCATGTGCGCAGACGGCCGTGTGGCCTTGCAGGGCCTGACGCAGAGGCTGTTGTCCAGGGCACTAGTCAGATGCCTGTTGTTTCAGGTATCTGAAATAAGGGAACGCACTAGATTAGCAAATGTATTGGATACCATTTGCTGAAT